GACGTGAGTCTATATCGTCCTAAGTGAGGAGGAGATTTTGAGTGGCTAAAGACTCTCCAATGATCAATCGCAGAGATTAGTTGAGTCTTGGGGTCAGAAAGCCTAAAAAAAAAAAATCAAACAGCACCTACATCACCACATGTTGTTTGGGAGGATTTCAAGAAAAATCCTCTTCACTCGTGCAAAAACTAACTCCAGCATATTCAGTTGTCAGACACGATTGGAGCTTCGAACGGGATTGGCTTCTATGGTCAGATGAAACTAAAAAAGAGCTTTTTGGCAGCAAACCAGCAGATGGGTTTGGTGCAAACAGGGATAAAAAGTACCTCATGCCCACAGTTAAATATAATGCTGGATCTTTAATATTGTGGGCCTATTTTTCTGCCGGAGATCCTGGACATCTTGTTCAGATATTGGCATCATGGATTCTGGATTCAAATACAAACTAATCTAACCCCTAAACCGTCACCTCCCGTTTTTTTTTTTAATAGGCTTGCAGGTGCACTATCCAAACTTAAATTGTTGTAATTTATGAACACTTTGTAATACAGACATAAGGCATTTTTAGGTCTCTTTTTAAAGAAGAAAATCAGCAGATTATCGCAAAAGTGGAATTTTTAAAAAGAATGAAAGTATAAAAAAGTTATGGTAGTTTAAATTTACTGTAAAGAAAATGCACTATATTAATTTAATTTTATTTGATATATAATAAATATTTTACATAACAGGTTGTACTCTAAAATTGGTATAAAATTAAAGCCTTATGTCTAAACAAGTTATGTTCCAAATTTGAAGTTGATATGAAAAAAAATGGAGGTTCCTGTGAGATTTTATTTAGGGTGTTATACCACAAACAGCCACCAGGTGCAATCCAAACTCTGTAGACTTTTTTTAATGCATTTTTCTGTCACAAATGTCTAGATTTCTCTGTCAATATCTAGAGTTATCTGTCAATACTGTGCTTCTATCTCAAAATAACCACCAAATATGGAATCCTGAGACTCAGATATTTCCAATGATATGTTTTTTGTCAAGATTATAAAAAGGTTTGATTCTAAAAGAGTGTAATGCATTTTGTAATATAACACTTGACACCGCCCACTAAAGGGGAGGAGACCGCCAAAAGATTTTAAAGTACCATTTCCATGGTAACGCAATGTCCAATTTCAAAATGGTTGGATGAATCTTGGGCTTCTAAGCTTTCAAATTATATATGATTTATAACGTTTACTAAAATATTTGATAGAGAAAAAGGACAACAAAAAAAGAGCGCCAAGCGTCCCACAGGTGGGACGGTGACAGTTAAGGGCTAAACCTGACTGCCTCTATTAGAAATCTTATAATGGGTCGTGGTTGGTGCCTGTATCAGGACAATGAACCATAACAAACATCAAAATCAGCACAAAAACTTCCGTAGTGTAACCTCTCTCTAAAAAAAATATAAATAATTTCTATTCACTTCGCAGACATCTTGATTCAGCTCATTTACAACAAATCAGTGCTATTTCATCTGCCAATCAAGATGCCAACAGCGAGTCCCACGAGCACCAGCTGTGTCAAAGACGTGCTTCTGTGCGAACCGACCAGCACGCTTAAAAAAGCCAAAAAAGCTCCCTAATATCCCAGGCTGGCAGCTGTCCATCAGAGAACTCAGATCTAGCCCCCATAACTAACCAAGCCTCTCCCGCTTCCCCTGAACGCTACAGGCCTTGCACGACCAATCAGTCATCGTAATGCCTGGCTAGATGGCCGTTGGAGACCGCAAGCCTGTGAGCCATTGATTTTCCTGTAAGTTTCTTCTCTCCCTCACCAGCTAATAAGGGTTCTTGAGTCTGGACTTTAGAAGACTTTAAGCGAAGGGTAAGTCAACAGTGTGCCTCCGGGTGTACAGACAGAGAGATTGATGCTTGAAGGAGAGTTAAGGTTCTCCCAGACATACTGTAGTAACTCTCATCCCAGTCATTCATGGATGAACTTGAAGGAAATATGAAAGAAAATAGAAAAAGGAAATGTTTTTTTCTCTTAACAGAGTAGTTCATCCAAAATTAAAATTCTGTCATAATTTACTGTTTTGATATTCCAAACCTGCATGACCATCTCCTTCTTTGGAACACACACACAAAAAAAACAGCAGAAGAAAATAATTATCAGACCTGTATTTGAGTCTGTATTAAATATGATTGTGTTAATACATTATAATCAAACTCACACCCATACATTTTGAGGACTCGTAACCACATCTTTGGCGAAGCCCTGCTGGGTTTAGCTTTCTGTTATTATTTCATACATAGAGTCTGCTCAAATCCAAATTGTGAGATATAAACTTGCAATTCTGAGTAAAAAAGTCAACATTCTGTGATGTAATTTTGCAATTTTGAGAAAATAAGGTTGACTTGTGAGATACAAACACTGAACTCAAAATTGTGAGACATAAATTTGTAATTGTGAGAAAGCTGGAACAATGTTATAATCTCACAATTCTATGAAAAAGTTTGAATTCGAAATATAAACTCGCAATTCCGACAAAAAAGTCTAATTTGTGTGATGTAAACCGATTTCTAAAAAAAAAAATCTGAATTGTGAGATTTAAATGTGCAAATTTGAGTGGAAAAAAATAAGGTTGAATTGTGAAACAATGAACTCATAATCGCGAGATATAAAAGAGTTGCGAGAAAGTACTACATTGCAAATCTAAGCAAAGTTTGAATTCGAAATATAAACTTGCAATTCCGACAATAAAGTCTAAATTGTGTGATGTAAACCAATTTCTAAAAAAAAAATCTGAATTGTGAGATTTAAATGTGCAAATTTGAGTGGAAAAAAATAAGGTTGAATTGCGAAACAATGAACTCATAATCGCGAGATATAAAAGAGTTGCGAGAAAGTACTACATTGCAAATCTAAGCAAAGTTTGAATTTGAAATATAAACTTGCAATTCCGACAAAAAAGTCTAAATTGAGACTTTAAGATTTAAATGTGCAAATTTGTGCAAATTTGAGGGGAAAAAAATAAGGTTGAATTGCGAAACAATGAACTCATAATCGCGAGATATAAAAGAGTTGCGAGAAAGTACTACATTGCAAATCTAAGAAAAAGTTTGAATTGCGTGATATAAATATATTGTGAGAAATAAACTTGCAATTCTGAGAAAAAAAAGTTGGTAGTGTAAGATTAAAACTTGAAATTTTGGGAAAATAGGCAGAACTGTGAGATAAAAATTGTGAGAAACTCACACCTGTGTTGTCTCGCAATTCTGAAAAAAGAAAAGGCTGTATGGTGAGATGTTAACTCAAAATTGCGAGAAAAAAAGTCAGAACTATTATAAACTTGCAATTTCTAAAAAACAAAAAGTCAGAATTAAGAAAAAAAAGATTGAATTGCGAGACAGCTCAAAATTAACTCAAAGTTGCGAGATATAAATTCGTAATTGCGAGAAAGGCGGAACTACACTCTTAAAAATAAAGGTGTATTTTTGAATGACAGTAAGCATGTAGGAGTAGACCCTCATGCTTACTGTCATTCAAAAAATTGAATCCATACGAATTCATACCTTGTAAAATAGTTGTTTTCTTGTGCGATTGAGTTGGTTGTAATAGGGTCGCGGTCGGCTGGTGAAAGAAATGCTAAATTATAAATTAATTTGTCATTTGATAAAACTTAGATAACACGGTCAACAGCCTCAAAAATCAAGAAAAAACTATGCAAAGTAACATAAATGCGACCCAGACTGTGTTGAAAACAGGTTTAAGGACTATTTTGTAAAGATTTTGGTATTGTGTTGGATCGCCACTTGATGTCCAATACACTGTGAAACCAGTTGAGAAATGTACAGCATTCAATGATAGACATGAACACAAAGACTGACAGGTTCTACTCATTGTGAAATGGTCACATTTAATGAACAACTTCTCATTTTATATACATCTATAAAAAGAACCCAGATACAGGTTACAAGAATCTAAAGCTAATACATACATTCTTAAATAATAAACTTTTCTCATGTTAAAGATACATATCATAGTTTACAAAATATGATCAAGGAAAATTAAGCAATTATGAAGGTTTGAAGAAAAGAAAAGAAAAGAAAAAAGCAAACCACAAACAAATAAAAAAAAAAACGGTTCTAAAATTATATTTTATTCAATGATAACCAAAACAAAGCAAAACAATGTTTCTTGAAGAAGGTAGTATTAAATTGTGATACTGACTAGAAAAGTAAAAACAGATGGTGAAAGGCAAAAAGAATGAAAATATGTTTCTGAACGGTGCTTAATCTTCAGATGGTCTGACACGACACGTTGTTCTTCCTGTTACAAAAGGCGGTCCAGAACAGTCCAAACCAATTTGTTATTTACAGTTTCAACTTCTCTGTGTTCAGGGGCCAAAAAAAAAAAAAAAAAAGATAAAAGAAAAAGAAGTAAACAAAAAGAATACAACAGATATCAAATGACGGCCTTCAAAATAAATGTGTTACTCCTCAGTCTTTGAAGCTCGTGAATATTTCGTACTGCCAGTTTCATTCCCTTACAGACACAGGCTTGGGGAAGCTATAGGGATCATGGGAAAGAAGAAAAACCAGTCCAAGTCTTTGGCATGATGAGTTAGCTGTATGTCGTGGAAATCGATGTTACACAAAATGAGCTTTTTCTGCCCTTGGAACAGTTTGAATGATCGAAATAGGGTGAAAAATCTTGTGACAAACAAAAATGAGGTGGATGCATTTTGTTTTGTTTGTTTTCTTGTTGTGCTGCCAGGCAGGTGAGTCCCGTGTCCCCAAATCTTTTGCTCCCCTGGGGTTCGGTTCCTGTGTCTGTGTCTAGTCTTCCATCAGCTGTCATCGTCAGAGATGTCGAAATGTTTTATTGTTCTTTTGTCTTCCGTTTATAAATCTTTCTAGGTCTTTTTTTCTTTCGTGAGAAAAAGAACTTGAATTAAATTATCAATGCACGATATCTATTAACATGTGCAAAATAGAAATAGAAGACTCCTCATTTTTTTCTTCCACAGGAATGAAGCTTACACATCTGAAAAAAAGAAGAAAAGAAAATACGTGTTAGCTGTGTGCTATCATTCATATAGTTACTTCAAGGGCAAAGATATATATTGCAAAAAAGTTTAATGATAACTATAGTATCCTCCAAAATATTTTGTGTTACTATTTAATTATTATTATTATTATTATAATTAATTGTTTTTATTATTTTATTATTATTTTTATAATAATAATAACAATTATTATTATTATTATTATTATTACAGTACAATTGAGACTAGTTATAAAATAGATACATCTAAATAATATTGTAGAAAGTTTCTATTAGAAAAAAAAAACTTATTGAAAAGCTGAATGTTTAAAGGAAATCAAATCATGTATAACATGTAAATTATGATATTTTGACAGAAATTACTCTGTACTCTCTACTCTGCTAAATAATAATACATATTTGTGTGAAGAAAGTTTATTTTTAGAACCACTGATTGTTTGCATTCTGACATCATTGCCTGACAATTAAGCACATTTTCCCCCAAAACTCATTGCACTCAACTATATTGCAGCCAGACATTTTCTTTTTCTTTTCTTTTTCTATTAATTTCTATTAATCCCAGTAGTGTTTCTCTTTATATTCTCATCATCAAAGTAATTGTATATACCTACCATTTATTTATTTGTTTGTTTGTTTGCTATAATAGTACAAAATCAGAATGGCTCTGAAGTAGGCTTCATTTTCTTTACACAAAATAGTTTAATATTTCTTTTATGATTTTAGGATGCAATATGACCTGGACATGCAGTTGACAGGTTTTGTGCGAATCACCCATATATACCTTCTGAATCCTGGAACGGCTGCTAGATTTATTCACCATGATAGTGTAACTTCAAATAAATGCCACAGTCGACTCCTTAAACGAATTTGAAAGCATTCCCCAACAGAGCAATTTTATACAGCGGTCAGCCTACTACAGCATAAATTACCAACACAGTATTGCAAATGAGAACAAACAGGGGCCAATGAAAACAATATCCAAATGGCTCCCACTTAATGCCAGTGGGAAGATGTAATCGGTGAGCAACCACCCATGATGTTGCCTTTAATTTTGTCTTGGCCTGTTATGGACTGACCAATTAAATCTCGCTCAGAACAGCTCAGTGTGGAGGAATAAGGCGAAGGTATTTCAGCGTGTACGTGGCCGTCTCGGGAGGACGAACACATCCTACCCCTGAGGCGCTATCATACACTTCCTCCTGCCTTCCAGCTCCATGCATGAGCTTGCTTTAATTAGAGATAGGCTCGTTATGCCGTGTTGCTGAGTTGGAGATAACAGGAGTGCTGTAAACATATGGCCCGAGCGCTAATGAATCTCGGGCTTGTTACGCGACTCTCTTCTCCTGCTTTCTGACACGTGCAGGGATGAGATCTATGAGGTTTATGTGGCTGTAAGCACCAGTAACCGGGTCCGTCCCTCAGTTTCTCAGGGGTTCTGGGTGGATTGTTCTGGTTTAATGAGCGCTGTCAACAATCTCTACAGTTTTTTTTCAGGATGGAAGCCACACTGAAATGGTGTCTAAGAGTGTCCATTTCACATAATTACCAGAAAACCCAATGGTCTTTGTTTTGAGAGTGAAACTCTTCCAGTAGTCTGCCGATATCTAGTCCATTAGGTGTAGTACTTATGACTGTCAAGAGCGATACAAAATCACATTCTGGAAGTACTGTGAGCACTTGGAAAACGCATAAGTCTGAGCGGAGTTAAGACCACCACCTCCAAGACTCAAACCCAGATTCACTAAGACCTAAATCAAAACCAGACCCCCTAAGACCAAGATCAATACCAGACCCGTGAGACTACGATCCATACCAGCCTCCTTAAGACCCAGAACAATACCAGACCACTTAAATACCTACATCACTACCACATCCCCATTTACCCAGACCAGATCTCATAAGATCCGGATCAATACCAGAACCACTAAAGCTGAAAATATACTTCCCTTGTTCGTGTTCTGCTCGGGCTCGCGGACTGTTTGCATGATTACATTTTTGTCATCAGTTTTGTCTGATGATATCTGCGCACACCGTTCTAGTTTTTGTGTCCGCGTGGTGTTGTGCACAGACAACGGCGCATGTGGGAGTGATTTGAGCCCTTGAAAACAACGGTCTACAAATGGAGCTTTAAGACCCAGACCAGAGCCCCTAAACCAATACCAGCCCACTGTGATCCAGACAAATACCACAACCCTAAGATCCAAACCTAGACAAATACCAGACCCACTAAGAACTAGATCAATAGCATAACCACTAAGATCCAGATCTACACTAAGACTAGACCTCTCAAGGCCTGCATCCAGACTAAGGGTGCATTTACACAACATGTTTTTTTACTAAAAAATATATATTTTAATTCATTCTTTTACACGACAACAGCATTTTGGGGGCCTAGAAAAGGCATGTTTTAGTACTTTATTATTGTGTAAATGTACCTTAAGACCTGAGAAAAAAGTTTGTCTATTTCAATGAAGTGAATCGAGAGATTGGTACATTTATTCCAAAGTTTTTTTTTTTTTTTTTGTAAATAGGCTGAGTAGCCATTCTTCTGAATTCTTTCTAAGGGTATGGCGATACAGTGTCAAGTAGTGGTTGAGTTAATAACCACTATTAGTACCTTGGAAATAGTCTGTTGTGTCTTGTCTGAGACCGAGATCCTGATTAGAGATGCGGTCACATTTACCTTTATAAAAATGCAGTCATTCCAATAGGAAACGATTGGGAATTTCACATGAGGGTTCAAGTTGGTCTTGTTGATTCGCCATGTTGACCAATAGAAATCTGCTTGGTTTGAAAATTATTTTTGTGTGAGCTATGCTTCATGCCTTACTGCACTATTGACAATGAACCTTTTTGTCTGCAAACCTTTGCCAAAGATTTGCTAATGTGACCATGATTCAAGACTAATTGAACATTTATACAGAGTTCTGGCATGAAACTCTAGATGGCGTAGTCTGATAGGTCTAACTCAATCTGACCTAATGACATCATTATCACATGGCACAGCTGATTGGTTCTCTCCTGTATCGGTAGCCAATGAGCTCGCTGCTCAACATTCAAATATATGACTAGTACTTGCTGTAGCAGTTGCAGCTTGCTTCAGAAACCCTCCACCTTCCCCAGCTCCACCTGTATAGATCTTCTACGAGGTGATTTGTGTATGCTATATGGGGGTTATTTCATGTATGTTATATTCGCAGCAGCAATATTTCTTACATGCTCCCAGCAGCATGTTGTGGATGTATTGGCGGTAGCAAGTTTCGGCACTTGCTCTGCCGCAGCAGCAGCGTAGCAGATCTATTCCGCCAAGACCAAATACATTAACATTGTCATGTACATTACCATGCCAATCCCTCCAAGAGTTGTCATGACAGAAATATGTTTTGGTGAACTTTGGGTTTTTGGCTTTGAGTTTTAAGACCCAAATCAAAACCCAGACCAAAGATTATTTGTATGTGGTCTATAGAGGTCTGAAGACCAAAACCACAAAATCAAGACTCTCAACTCTGATAATAAGGGGAACGAACATGACACAACTTTGATTACTCACTGAGTTACAATATATCTTCAATAAACTATGTGCATAACGACTATTAGTTAGTTATTGGTGTCTCAAGTGTATTGTGAGCTTGTATTGTACATAATTAGGAAAAGTGTAGTCCAGCTGCATGAATAATGTGGTAAGCCTCTTATGATTTATAAATGCTATTTCAGAGATTATGCTGATACATTGCTCACTGTTTATACCTCATGCATTGTTCACATTGTTTCACCGAAAGCTCATGATCCTTTCTCACATAAGAACAGTGAATGAGATGCATGGAAATAGCATTGCAGTGAGGTCACGCACCACATGATGGACAGCAGGACGCAGGCCAGGAGGAGGTGGGTTGACCAGAGAAGGGTGGAGCAGGCCGCTGTGGGTTCACCCACTCGTGGTGCGGCTGAAGGCGGTCCAGGGGTGGTTTCTGCCAGGGGAGAAGAAAATGGTAATTATTTCTAAGTATTTCAACAGGAACGGGTTTGTACATCCATAGTTCATGTACTAAATATTGATGAATGACATGAAATTAAATTTTATTAATGTATTAATTTCTTCAAAATATTCAAATGACTTGAATACAATAAGCATGCTTTTAAATATATTATCCTTTTCTTTCTTTCTTACTTTTGGCTATAAAGCAAAAAAAAAAAAAAAAAAAAGTCAAGTGGTGCAACCAACAACAACAACACCCTACATATCGTCATGACTATGAGTCAAGGTCAATAAGTCTTTTAAAATATTGAATAGTTTGACATTTCTTGTATCACTAGGCAACGTGATTTCAGGTTATTCAATGTCATGTGGTGCAACCATGGCGATGCATCCACAAAAAATAACATTTATCCACTAATAATTCTAAACCTTTAGAATTATTAGTAATAATTAAGATACAGTATACACATTCATATATATTCATAGTGTAAGAAAAGTATTGTATTACTTTTTTCTTTGATTATTCCACTTTTGCTTGATGGCGTATAGACATGAAATGGTAAAAAAGTCATTAAAAATGAAATGGATAGATGTTGGAAAACATTAATAAAATGTATTTAATATTCACTCACCCCTAACATTACACAAAAACAAAAAGAACTGTGATTGGTCACTTTACATATCAGTTAGGCAGTCTCTTCCTGTCTAAGTGGGCGGGCCTTTGCCCAAGTATAGGACCAGATTTTAAACCAAGAGTCAAAAGTCTGGTTACATGAGACATTCATCGCAATACACTACACTTTATATCTGTAACTCGCAATACAACAGCATTAGAGCAATATTTTGAGTTAACTAAACAACTGCTCCACCACCACCTGAACATGTTCTTGTTGCGCTATTGTAAATGCAATTGAACTTCACAACTGTAAGTAGATATTAGTTATTGTTTTAATATCGCCTGTTTATTGTTTTTTTTTGTGCAGTGTGTGTGACAATGTGTGAAATGACTCCCTAAAAAACATCTCCGATAAAGTAGAAAGAGCTGTCTCGTGCAATGACTCAAATTAAGCAAATAAAATGCTGATATAACAAGCCAAGGAGGAATTATTACAAGGACGTTCTGCTGTTTTACCTAGGAGAAAAGAAAGAAAAGCTTTCAGAGAGGGAGTTTTGACACACGGCTTACAAAACTAGCATGCAATTCTGCTGACTTTTCGATTCTTTCCTCCGTTCCAAGTATAGTGTGGATTAAATACACTCAGTGCATAGAGGGGGTAAAAACTCAATACCGTCTGCTGGATCAAACCGAGCAGGGCTGCGTCACTAGATATTACTTCTAATAACAGTCATAAGTTGTCAGTGCTATTTATAAAAGATGTAGATAGGCTATCATAGGGTTTTCAAGTCAAGATTCTCTTTGTCCGCCCCAAAAGGACCACAGTACTCTTAAATCCCAAATTTGACGCAGTGAAACTAATATTGCATATAGGCCATCAGAGCTTTAACTTTAAATATTGTTGTGTCTTTTTTGGCCAATGAATCATTGAAAATACAAACATTAAATGAGTTTGTAACCATAAATGTGCAAAAGCATACTAAAATTAATTACTGTTGATCTGTACTTTCTGCAGACTGGGTTGACTAACACTATGGAATCCCCAAAATTGGACTCTTTTTATTATTTTTTTTTATTTAAAGAGTGTTTTGCTTTCATCTGTCATCTCATCAAGATTATCTTTGTCCGCCCCAAAAGGACCACAGTATCAGTACTCTTAAATCCCAAATTTGACGCAGTGAAACTAATATTGCATATAGGCCATCAGAGCTTTAACTTTAAATATTGTTGTGTCTTTTTTGGCCAATGAATCATTGAAAATACAAACATTAAATGAGTTTGTAACCATAAATGTGCAAAAGCATACTAAAATTAATTACTGTTGATCTGTACTTTCTGCAGACTGGGTTGACTAACACTATGGAATCCCCAAAATTGGACTCTTTTTATTATTTTTTTTTATTTAAAGAGTGTTTTGCTTTCATCTGTCATCTCTGACGACATTTTATTTATTTATTTTAATCAGAGAAAGATTTCACACTGGTTATCTTAGCAGGGTTAAAAACAAAATGGTTTTTCAAATTAATTATAAAAAAAAAAAATAAAAAAAAAAAACTCCCATTCTAATCACTGATGTGTTCTACACTGCAAAATAAATATCTGTTTACATTGTATCTGCACCTTATTGTTTATGATGAAAGAATTTGCAAGAGTGCAGAACTCAGAGTACACTCTTAAAAAAATGATATTGCAACAACCCTAATGTGAATGATGGGGTAGCGGTACAGTCCATAAAATATGTTGTACAGTTGAGTACTGCGCATTGATCGATAAACTGAGGAGACGTGACTTTGAAGGCTTCTGTGATTGAGGAGATGAAAACATGGTCTTTAAGATTAAGTGGCATTCGAAAGCCATTTACTTCTATCATATGATGTATTTCAGGAAAACAGAATAGTCAGGGAGAAAAAAAATAGCATACTTTTATTCCAGGAACTGATTGGATGGTGAAAAGTGGATGTAGAATGGATTGTAAAGGACAACTCTCAGAAGGCTTTGTGACTGGATGCCGAATGTTAAAAGTTACCAAGACAATCTTAGTCTATCTCATTTTGTTTTCTGATGGATAAATGGACTGAAGAGCTGAGCATAAGTTGACCAGGAACATGTGCTGAGAAGGTAAGTACATTACCTTCTAATGTACTAAACATGTTGGGTTGGGTTACTACCCAGAAGGCTGGGTTAAACATTTAACCCAACCGCTGGGTCAAAACAACCCAATTGCTGGGTTTGTTCCTATTTTACCCAGCACTGGGTTGTATTTAACCCAGCATTTTTTAGAGTGCAGATTAAATGTGACACCTCCTTTTTAATTTTCATCCATCAATTTAACAGAACCTGATGTCAATTCCTCATTAACCTCCGAGTGCATCAACTATTCATTTGTTGTTGAAGCTTTTTAATTTTCATCCATCAATTTGAACCTGATGTCAATTCCTCATTAACCTGCGAGTGCATCAACTATTCATTTGTTGTTGAAGCTCTCTGACAGCAGAGGGCAGCGTGACTTTGAGATGCAGGACTACAGACACTGTCTCCTCATTATCAGCCACTATTATTGTTTTATGAGAGAACAGAGATCACGGAGGGCACTGCCATTACAGTGAATAGGAGAGTAGGTGTGCATACGGTTGGCAGCTCATGCATACCTGGGATAATGTCGCTCTCGGTGGTGGAGGTGATGGGCTTGGGTTCCTCCATCCAGGGGGTGGCGTGGACCGCCACGCTCCAGTCGCTCCAAGTGCCGATCTCCATGTCCTTGGCCGCAACAGAACCTGATGTCAATTCCTCATTAACCTCCGAGTGCATCAACTATTCATTTGTTGTTGAAGCTCTCTGACAGCAGAGGGCAGCGTGACTTTGAGATGCAGGACTACAGACACTGTCTCCTCATTATCAGCCACTATTATTGTTTTATGAGAGAACAGAGATCACGGAGGGCACTGCCATTACAGTGAATAGGAGAGTAGGTGTGCGTACGGTTGGCAGCTCATGCATACCTGGGATAATGTCGCTCTCGGTGGTGGAGGTGATGGGCTTGGGTTCCTCCATCCAGGGGGTGGCGTGGACCGCCACGCTCCAGTCGCTCCAAGTGCCGATCTCCATGTCCTTGGCCGCGGTTTTTTTATTAGGTAAAAAAAAATACAGCTAATGAACACAATAAAACATAATAAAAACATAACAATAAAAAACATGATTTTTGAAACGAGTTATCTGTTTTTGCAAATAAACTCTTAATAAATAAATAAATATATATATATATATATATATACATACATGCATACAGTATATATACAGTCTATACAGTGTATATATATACACACAGGATATACAGTATATATACATACATATATACATATATATATCAGCACAGAAAATATATATAAAAATTATATTGAAATTATAATAATATATAAAACATTTATATCTTTTATGGTATTACTGCACTGATAATTTATAGAATATAATTTTTTTATATAATAATAATGATAATAATAATAATAATAATAATAATAATTATTATTATTATTATTATTATTACATTATCATTGTCACAATTTCTTACCACTGTATTTGCATTTGTACTTGCATTTGTATAATGCCACTTTATAATTACAATCAGTTAAACTAAAACATTTTAGCACAAATGATAATCTCATAGAAATTGCAACATGTCAGAGTCCTTGATAGTCCACTTCCTCTTTGTGTGCTGCAGTGGATTTGCACACACCTGAGGACCATCTGTGTACTCTTTGGTGCCTGTGGGTAATGAGGGTCACTTGACCACAACAGAAGAGGGGGCACAAAGAGGCTGGGAAGTCCCGTGCATGTCTTGGCCGCTTTGAGCAGGGGGAAATTTGACTAATGCACTGCAGCTGAGGCCTGTGGAGGGAGATGAGTGATGGTAGAGACGGCCCAGCGTCTATGACTCATCCCGCGCATCCATCACTGGCCTGTCCTGCACTGCTGAAGCTCCAGTCTGGAACTCAAAATCATGTGTGGCGCTCAGTCGCAGATGCTCAATCTGCGCTTTTCTTGCTCTTTATCTGTCATACTGCAGGACCGCAGAAAATTCCGTTTTCTTTTTCAATTTATGAGTTGGAAGGTGAATTGAATTGGCCTTGACCCACAGAATGCTGAATTGCAATGACAGGAACAGGATTTTATTTTTTTTATTTAATTAAAATGTTATAGTCACATAAGAGAAAGGAGTTTCATGAGTCCAACACACATTTTGTGACAGAATGTGACTAGTTCGCATTATTTCGACAAATTGTTTTCTCTTATATACATTGTGTCAATTGAAAAGACTTTATGGACCATGGTATAAGAACACTTTTTTTTTCCCCAGAAAGACAATATCTATTCAATATTTATTTTCTAAACACCTGCAACAGTTTTTTACAATTCTGCACCTGTTTTCTAACTCAATTCAAATTCAGGAATTCAATTAAAATGTAAAGGCGTTCTCAGTTCAATTCTGAATGTGCACAGACCTCTCGCACACATGCCCGGTAGAAGTCAAACACAGAGGTGGGAGAATTACTTCTCCAACAAAGCCAGATCCTAGTGCAGTATACAAAGTGCAAAGCATATTTTCTGAAGAATTTATTATTACTCCCAAGTGCAGCTGTACAACACAGAGAAAGAGTGTGCGGGAAAACTGAAGTGTGTATGCTGTGAGATTTAGAGAATACCTCATCTACACCTGAGCTGCTCACAACAAAGACCAAAGAGCTTTTTTTTGTCTTTTTCAGTGAATTTCCACTAGCAGCGTCTGCGAGTCTTTCCATCGAGCATACGTAGACAAACGCAGCATGTGTGGTGGTTATTCTCCGCATTTACATTTTAATTGAACTTTATCTTTCATAATTGGAAAAGAGAGCATTGCTCATTTCCCCAGTGCTCTTCAAAACCCACAAAACAAAAGCGGCATCCTTTTCATTTCAGATTAAACCGCATTCTCTGCGCTTTCCCTACAGTGGCCACTGAGCACCTGGGCTGTCAAGTGTTTGATTCGATTACTTTTAAATTGCAGCATTTCGTCCATCTATTGTACTATATTTTGAGCTGAAATAAATGGCTTTGAATTGTAAATGTGTGCTTTTCATTTTCAAATTTCTTGGTGCTACCTCTGAATGGACGTTATTGGAGAAACATCGGTATATATACGGCATTGACCAGCTGAACACTCAACCGATGGCATTTGTTTTGTTGAACAATGGAAGACGGAGAGTGTTTGTGAAACAAACAACACAGGATCATTGGAAATACGTGCCTCTACCTATATCTCTGCACAACTAAAATCAGAAAGTATGATTACCAGGGCCAGAGTTTTGATTAAGAAAGCCTAATTTTCACACAATTCTTTCCACATTATTATGTTATGACTTCAAAATAATTTTAACATGCTACGAGATTTGAAAACTGGACTTTTCAACGTCAGTGTCACGTATGCCACGGTCATGTATTGAAGACACATTTTAGCACCAGTCACTGGACATTTCACTTTGAAGCTGCTGTGAAACGTGCAACAAGGTACATAATATGGGTTGGAAACGTGTCTGGTAACAGTCATTATCTTTGCAGTTTAGTTTGTTCATCAGCTGATTTTATTTACAAGGCTGGTTTAAAACTATGAGGACATGGACGAACCGAATCAGATTTGCTGCAGCCATTCGGAGAAAGGTCAATGGACATTTAATGTTTTGGTTCCACCTGCAATTCTGTTCCACAAACCATTTCCCTATTGCTACACTTTTGTGAAAGCTGTCAAGACCAGAAGTGGGGGTGGGAGTCAAAATGTCCTTCGCAAGCCCTGTAATTTGAGGATACATACTGTAAACCCTCAAATAAACACTACCATCAGTTAGAAATAACTAGCTGGTGGAAACCCCTAGCCAAAAGATGAATGAAATGTGAGCATCAGCTTCCTGTTATCTACTTCTGGATCGGGTAACATTGCAATGTGCTGAGAGAAACGGAGAGGAAGACAGATAAAAAGAATCGAGACAGATAAGACAGTATGCATCTGATGTCTGAGACATGCTATTAGAGAGAGCTATTTATATAGCCGTATCATTATGTACCGAACACGCTCTGACCCTCATACATGGCAACACCTCGACAATCCCAGGTGCCTCGCTGCATTCTGGGCTTCGTTCAGTACGGCCAAAGCCCATAAATAAGATTAGGTGTAAGTCGTTTCACTGGAACAGCGAGGAGAGGATTTCGGTCCTACATCGCATATTGCAGTGAGTTAAACAATGAAACAGCTGCACATAATATCACTGGGTCCTCACGAGACAAGATAAAAGCTGTCTTTGGGTGTAAATCTGAGCGTTTGTCCCAACTAGCTTATCAGTTTCTATTTCTGTAGTGTTACGCTGAGTAGCCCCACCCACGATGAGATTTCATTGGTCCAAAACCCAGCTACATATAACTGTATATTAAACAGTAAGGTCAAAATGACATAAAAATGACCATATTTACTTTAATAATACATGTTTCTTGTCTTATTGCAAATTATGTGTGAGCTGCATTTCATTCTGACTTCAAACATGTTTTGATTCGGTATGATTTCTTTGTAGACTTTTTGTAATTATTTCAAACAAATTTGGGGCAATTGAAATAAAATAAAATATAAGTATTAGATGGTAAAAAAAATAAAAAAATATATATATATATGTATGCCGATTTATATATATATATATATATATATATATATATATATATATATATATATATATATATATATATATATATATATGCCGATATACAGCCATATCTGATGGCACGAGTGTGTAAATAAATTAGAAACAACAATGGAGTGTCTTTAAAGGCCCTCTTTTATGTAGAACTACTTCCTTCCGCCACAGATTTAAATCTAAAGTTGACAGTTTAACAGCTGAGCCCCAGTTACTTTAGAGCTAGTAACGAAGGAACGTTGAGTTGCTTCATTGAATGCTTATTGTATTACTGTAGTAAAAGCTTGCTGTATTATGTAGAGTAAAGTATTATGAGAGAGAAATGGACTGAGCAAGTGTGATACCTGCATCTGATACAGCGTCTCCTACACACAATAAAACATACGTTTGAATGTCCACTGAGGAAAGCGTTATCTTTGTCGTATAGTCAATATCCTGACATCTGGTAAGAGTGATTTCTGATGACAGCGCTGCTCAGTGCATTTGTTAGCTGCTTCGTTGTTGAAAGTAAAAATAACTTCCATTTACAAAAGCGTATTTTATTTCAAAAGCGTCTCTTGTTGCCATCTAATGGCGGAACAATGTAACTAAAATCACCATCACGAGCACACGCACCATGTCTCGGTAATAAACACTATTTTTAAATACTATTATTATTTATATAAAATATTATTTATTGAATAATCATAATCAATAAACAACAACAACAGCCATCATAAAAGTTGCTAGCCAATCCAGTCAACCGTACAAAGGCAGCACGATATACAGCATTGAATTTACATAAACATGATAAGATTTTGCTAAAACTATTTGCTCTGGTACAAATAATAGTTTAGTGAGACCAAAGAATGCCCGTTAGAGTTACCCAAAACGAATTATATCTCATGTTTAACCACTATAGAGACATTAGAGCCAGCGGTAAATTCCAGAAGATCTGGGCGGGTGTAATGAACGCTGAACGGCCGCTGGAGCTCACGTCTCCGAAAACGTCGAAGCAAATTTTCAAACAGACGTTATCTTTATTAACAAACTGCATATTTGACGTCCAAGCAAGCACTTTCTCGCCTAAAAAACTCTTAAAACTGCATTTCGTGACACAAAACAGTATTATTTTTAAAACTATCGTGGATTTGGGCGTCCGCCATGACACTCGCTGTGAGAAATGCGGCAACTTCGGCAAGCGGAGTGATACTAACGGTGAAGAGGTCGAGGAGCTCTGTTGGACTCTAATATCGCACTCCTATCAGCCAATCAGATTCGAGAACCAGAACGAACTGTTGTATAAATATATATATATATATAATGTTGCTTTGCCAACTAATTGAAATAAATACATTTGAGTACTAAGATTAAGACATGTATAGAATTATTTAAAAAATGACAGAAGAAAATTAGGAA